ATTGGTTCCTCCCCTCCCTCCTCTTTATTCTTTCCTTCGTTTCTTCCTTTCTCCCTCTCCCCCCCCCCCCCCACCCATCCTCCTCGAACTCCTCCTCCTCTTTCTTCTCTCTCTCCCCCCCCCCACCCCCTTTGGAAACTTTCTCAGGGTACATCATGAAATTTCCCTCTCACACTGGAGACATAGCAGACCAGAGATTTTATCTTCCCAATTACATGTGGTCAGTAGTGTGGGAATGTCACCTCTCTCATGAGTCTGACTACTTCCTACAGTCCACATGCTATCAGTACACCCATTTGTCAGAAAGCACTCCAAGGATAGAACTCTCTCTTCTAATTAATGATACTATACTCTACACCCGTTCTTTCTCTCCTTTCTCAACCAATACCCCATTTTCCCACACCAGGAGATATGAACACAATATTGGTCACTTGTAAATGAGCTAAACTGACAGTTGGTGGCACTGCTTGTCAACTAAAATTCCTAGTGCATACCGTATTTTCCGGCGTATAAGATGACCGGGCGTATACGACGACCCCCTAATTTTACAGTGAAAACATAGGTTTAGGCCTATATTCGCCGTATAAGACTACCCCCCACTTCCGAGGCAACACCAGTTCTTTTTAAAATTAAATTTTTAATGATTGACCCCCAATTTTCGGTTGACTTTTTTTCATTTCAAAAGTCGTCTTATACGCCGGAAAATACGGTAATCATAAGAAATTCTATCTTTGTTTACCACAAGAGGAGATCTAAGCTCTAAAAGACATGAAAATTGCTAGAACAGATTTCTGAAACCAACCCCCCTGCCTCTATAGTAGTCAAGAGATTATACCTAGATTTGGCCTGCCAGTAGTCATAGAATCAGATAATAGCCCCATCTTTGTAGCAAGGTATCTCAAAGTATAGCTCAAGCCTTAGGACAGGCATGAGCAGGACTCTAAAAAGTTTAATTGAATTTGTCCTGAAAACCGGTGAAAATTGGAGCAACCTCCTGCCCTTCGCCCTCTTATGGGCCAGGTGTACCCTCTACTGGGATGCCCCCCCCCCTTTTTTTTTTTAGATCATGTATGGTAGACCTCCCTCCATCCTTCCCAGGGTCAGGGGAAACTGAAAGCTAGAATTCATAATCATTCCCTTGCTCAAGTCTTTACAGGTTCTGCAGTTTACCCAGAAGCCATGCATAAGTTTGTTCCAGATGCACTGCCAGTGCCCCCCGTGGACCCTGTACACCCCTTCCAGCCTGGAGACTCTGTGTGGGTAAAGAAGTTCACTGTCCAAGGACTCACCCCAACCTGAAAGGGACGCTACACTGTTATCCTGAGCACGCCCACGGCTGTTGAAGTAGACAGCACCCAAACCTGGCTACACCACTCACAGCTCCTGCACAGAAAACAACCTGGTTCCTGGCAACCAGCAGCCTCACCCGTGAGATCCCTAGCCTGGGCTCCACACAGGCCAGGAGGAGACTTGATGCCTGCAGGAGGGGAAACGGACTACAGTGAGGACAGTACTAATGGGAACTGTGGTTCTAGAGGTTTTGGTAACTGTAAGAACGTTTTTGCTAGCCAGTGAGAAAGTCCAGGGCTAAGTAAAGCAACATGTGCAAGGGAATGGGAGAGCAGAAAGAGGAACGGAGAAGACAAGAAGGAAACTGGTATGAAAACTTATTTTCCTGGTCCCCCTGGTTAAGGACCTTAATAACAGCTATAGCAGGGCCCCTCACCCTACTCTTACTCATGTCACTCATTGGACCCTGCCTCCTCCGCAGCCTGCCAACCTTCAAACAGGATAGAATTCAGGCAGTAAAGCTCATGGTCCTACATACCCAGTATCAGCAGATCCGGGAGGAGGAATGGGAGCAGCCAGAATCAACAATTTGATTCCCCAGTAAGACCAGTGGGGAATGCTGTGGCCGGCAAAGCCCGGTCGAGGCAGAGCTCCAGATGGCCACCGGGACCCTGCTGAGGCAGGCCAGGGAAGGAACAAGCAACCAGACCCACAACAAAGAATGTAGCATGATACGCTTTAGCTAAACTTAACTGTTAGCCATAAAATAGTTCTGTTGCAAGTTCTGTTCAACTCCCAGGCAGGCACGTCCTGTTTCTAGTAGCCGCAAAGCAGAACAAACAGACCAAACCAGGTCAAACAGAGACTGCTTACGCTGAAAATAAACCCCCACCCCAGGTGTTGTATAAACTTCAAATGTTACTGTACTAGTGGAATTTTTCTATAACTTACAACTGACCTTTCTTTGTTAAAACTTTTAGCCAGTCATAATCTGCCAGGCATCCCTAAGACGGGGATAAAAGGAGCGTGCTTAGAGTGGGTCGGGGCTCTTGTTGCTCGCTGCAGTGTCAGTTGAGACGTGAGCCCGGACTCAAGTTCGTAACAAAGGCTTCCTAAATTCCAATTTGGCAAACTAGTGGTCGTCATTCGCGGGTCACCCACAACAGTCCAAGCTCCCGTGTGCCCCCACTGCCCCTTGCCCCTCCTGCAGACCCCTCCCACGGCCTCGGCTTATGGGGGACGGTCCTCAGGGGAAAATCCTTAGTTCTGAGCCCAAGCCCAGCAGCCACGCCCTGTGTGGTACCCAAGGGCGGCAGGATGCGCTCCCCGGGGCCCTCCTACCCTCCCGGGCTGTGCCCAGGCCAGGTGCCTGGGTGCCACTCACACCCCTTCCAGAACTCCCTCCCCCCAGGCCGCCCGAGTCACCAGCCTTCTGGACCATGTCCCTCCCTCTCCCAGGGCCAGGACCCCCACTCCCTACCTCTGCGCCCGCCTCTGGGTCCTGCTCCACGCGGGCTGCTCCCTCTCGGCCTCCTCACCTCCTGCTGCAGCCAGAGCATCTCTACAGCATCCCGCCCGGAGCAGCCAGCAGGTCCTCAGTGGTCCCCTCACCCCGGCTGAGGGGGGGGGGGGGCCCTTCAGGCCCTCCTCCATTCTCCACCCTGTGTGCCTTACAGACACGGTCAGGGCAGGCCTAGGCGCCCATGACCAACATGCAGCGGGCAGAGACCAGTGCCTCCAGCCCTCTGTTTGCCCCGGGCCTAACCTACCAAACTTCACTGGTCCAGGAGGCCTAAGCCGAGATGGCAGCTGGACACCCTGGCGGCCGGGCTTCGTGTCCCTCTGGATCTCACTCAGGCCTCTGGGCAGAGGGCCTGCCTTCCCTTCCTCTGCAGGGGCTGCTTCCCTCATAAACCCTGCAGGAGGCCCAGGCTCTGAGGCACGATTCCATGTAACAGGTTACGGATGTCGCTCCGAAGGATTTAAGCACCACATCAACACGGACATTACCTGAGATTTATTTCCCTGAGTTCGCTTTCCATCTAGGATCCAAACCCTGCCCAGCCCCGCAGTGGTTTTCAGAGCAGAGGGCGGGCGGCCCGCTGGTCAGAGGCGGCACGTCCCGGGGGTCCTGGCACTGCCGGACCCGGGACACGCCCGCGGCAGCAGCGCAGGGACCGCTCCAGAGGGCTGTACGGACGTGTCTATCTAAGTCGTCGTGTGGGCGGGAACCGAGTCCCCAGTGCAGCAGCGTCTCTCCGAGGCCGTCTCTGATTTTCAGGTTTCCATGTGTCTGAGGAACTGTAAAACCTCATTACTTTAGTGGCTTGTATTTAGCTTCAGAATAAAGTGCTGTGGTTTTAAAGTAACAGCCAGGCTATGCCTAAGCTTCTGAGAAACTGCTACTTCTGAGAGGAGAAAAGACAATCGGAGGAGTTCTCCTTCATTGCAGAGCCACGTGGCGAGCCGGTCACTCCAGGGGCGGCCTCTGCACACCCAGGGCGCTCCCAGGCACGGGCCTTGCAGAAGGGTTACATGATGGCGCTGAAGAAAAGTCCCTTTCCCTGCGGCTGGACCAGAGGACGATCCTCACTTACACTCCAACTGAGTCTGTCATAAAAATCGGAGTTTCCCCACATCCAAGTTCTAAACCTACAGAAATACTTTCCCGCTTTGCTATAACAAGTAACAAAGCCATAAAAATAAGTGTGCTAGAACCTTACCCACAATTCTCTGTGGTGGGGTGAAAGCAGGGCTTTACCCCCGTGGCTGGTCGAGAAGATGGACGTGGGTCGTTTGTGGAGGACAGAGAGGGAGCACCTGCATGATGTCATCGTGACCGCTGTGGTCCAAGCAGTCGGTGCCCACAGTGCCTTCCCCCAAGCCACGCGAGCCCCGGCCCCCGCCCCTTGGGCACTGATCTTGGAATGGCAGCTGTCTAGGCCCCAGAAAAGGCTCACCAACCCGTGTCTGTGGAGAAAAACAGCTCTTCCGTTCACAGGTGTGACAGCAAAATAAAGGAAATGACCTTCCACACCAGGCAATGCAGAACTAAGACCCCCGAGAAGGTGTGACGCCTGGCACTGATTCTGACCAGTGTCAGGGCTCAGTGCCCCGCTGGGGAGGTCCAGTCCAATAAGGGGAGAGATGGCCCCTAGTAAAGTGTTTTCCTCTCATCAAAACCAGCCCATCTCAGAGCTCCTTTCTCTGCCTCCACGAGGAACTGCACGCGGTACTTCTCGAATGCGACAGAGGTCTGACCTCACCGGGGCCGCGAGTCAGTCTCCAGGGCCAAGGCTGGCCTCTGACTCTGATGTGGGTCCCGGGTGGAACCAGCACCCACGACCCTGTTCTGACTTGAGGACATGGCAGACCGGCTTTCAGCAGCTCCTTCCATGTCCAGGGGCCGGCAGTGGAAAAGCCCTCTTCGCTCACAGTGGACAGGCGCGGTCCAAGCTGCCCGCAACCTGCTTTTATTGAGGAGGGAGCCGGGTCCCTGCCTTCCCGCACAGGTTCCTGTCCCCTCCCCGCTCTCCTCTCCCTGAGGGGCTCTGATCATCCACAGGCCTGGGCCTGAGCCGGAGGCTGGCCTGGAGGAGCCCGCCTGGAAATATCTTCTCACCACTCACCCCTCCTTCCCGATGCACCCTCCGGCCTGGCCTCTGTCCCCATCCCACCTCGGGTCGGGTTTGCTGGCTGTCCAAATGCTTCTATTCACTCTTTAACCTGCCGCTGCCGTCCCCGCCATAGCGGAGTCTGTGCAGCAGCATTATGGAAACAGCCGCCAGCGCCAACGCGGCCCCCAGGCTGGGGGGGCCACAGGGACTGAACTCCTGGGCGACTCCGGAGAGGAGGGGGGCCACGACCCGGCCCACGGCCGTCACGGACTGCCCCAGGCCTATGAGGGCGCCCCCGGCCCGGGCCCCGCCGGCGGCCAGCTGGAGGTCCGTGATGCACGTCCTGCCCACGGCCGTGGAGAAGGCCAGCAGCAGGGCGGGGACCGCGGCGGCGCCCGCGGTGGGGGCGGCGGCGAAGAGCAGCAGCAGCAGGCAGGTGAGGGAGCTGGAGTGCAGCAGCAGCCGCGGGCAGTCGTGCCGGTACAGCCGCAGGAGCGGCCCCAGGGTCAGGCCGGCCAGGGCCCCCAGGGCGCTGCAGCCGCTGATGAGGTGGCCCGTCACCTTAGGCCGCACCCCGAAGCGCTCCTCCAGGGCCAGGACGAAGTTGCTGTGGTACAGCATGACGGCCAACGCCATCAGCAGGCGCACCAGGAGCACGTCCCCCATCTCCGAGGTCACCAGGCTCCGCAGGTGCTGCAGCGCGGCCACGCCCTCCGCCCAGGGCCCGCGGGCCTCCGCGCCCTCCGCGCCCTCCGCGCCGGGCCCTGGGCTGGCTTCTGGTCCAGCACGGCCGGTCTTCCCCGAAGGGGCACGGCTTTCCCCCAGCCTCAGGCTGCTCCTTGTGTTCCGGATGCTGGCTTCACTCCATGGACACAGCCACACGAGACCTGTGGAAACAGGTGTTACAGGGGCTGACATCACGGTCACACTCGCCTCCCACGGGGACAGCAATGACTGGCTTAGGTCTCTGCTGCAGCTTTTGTTAGCGGATTTACTCACCTGTGTTCTCAAATCCAGTTTTTGACCATTCCCACAGCCACTTCTACTCCTATTAATATCAGAATCTGCAATTCACCTTAAGGGGAAATCTATGCCTAAGTAATACTATTTTCCCCAGATCAAAAGCCGATGAAGGTTTCCTATTTGCCACCATTTCATATCTAAGTTCTCAGGCTTTACATTTAGGTTCCTCCCTCACTACTTTGCTGATTCTCTGACTATCCTCCATCTGACCACCCACCCCACACTGAACAGCCATGCTTCTACATGCTGAATCCCATGCTGGCTACGACATTCACACACAAGGCCAGGCCTGTACGATCCCTGTCCCCCAGGAACTTAAACTTGAGGGATGTGGGCATGCAAAGGGCAATTCCACTGCATGGTCAGCACTATGCTTTGGGGGGGGGGGTGGGAGCAGAGAGTGCTGGGCCAGCCAGCCCTGCAGGGAGTGGCCGGGGTTCCAGCAACAATGGCCACTGGGAAGCACCTGCTCGGATCTGCGCTTTTGCCAGTCTCATGTCGCAACCTCTGGGGGCACCATTCCCATTGCCCATGCCACCCTTATCCAGCAGCTCTGTCCCTGCTCGGCTGATGCCCTTTGCCCCCAGGGGACAGGCTGGTCTGGCCTCCACTGTATGATCCCGCCAATGACTTCATGCCAACCCTGCCCGAGTTTTCTGAAAACTGAACTGGAGCTGTCACCTAGGATAGTTTCCTAACTCATCCCTGTGGCTGCAGTCCTTCGGCACAAGTCCCACCAGCTGGGCCGCCGGTCAGGGCTGCTTCCGGCTGGCCCCAAGCTACATCACTCTCCAGCCACAGTATGTGGCCAGAACTAGCCAGGCACTAGTTTAGGCCAGAAAGCTGATCACGTGAGACAGCAGGCCTGGACTTCAGACTTCTCCCTCGCTCTTATGTATGCCAGTTAGTTCCCTGGGACAGCTCTCAGAATCCTGATAAGAAATGAAGAACTGTTGCTAATGGACTGGAAGAGAAGTACAAATAATAATAAAAGGATAATGATGACAGCAACTGGCATCTACTGAGTGGTTACCATGTAGGGAAGGGGGTAAACTGCTTCTGCGGCAACCTTGACTCGTTCTCACAAGTCGACTTGTTCTCATGACTGTGCCCAATCCCTCAGACCGGAGCCCAAGTTCTTACCCGAGAAAACAAGTCATTGTGAGGGACGTGAAAGACCAGAGCAAAGACCGACATTAGTAAGCCCTGAACTTTGCTTCTCAAGGCTGACATACCAACCCAGCATGGAATTCATCACTCAGCCCGAAGTCTTCAAAATGGATATCAGGGGAAGTAGAACATAATTAGATTTAGGACAACTGAACAGCATGAACCCTTTGTTAATAAAGCTGTTTATCTAAGGGTTGCCCTGCACCAGTCTCTGGGCAAAGAGGTTCCTCCTCTCGGCTTTAAGCAGCTGGCTGAGCACCCATGGGGCTTCTATCCATCATGCCTTCTTTTATTCATCAACTATCACTGAACATCGGCTACCTGTGCCTGTCCTCTCTGGGCACTGAGCAAATACAAGCTCTTGTGGAGTTGACTTTCTAATTGTGTGTATTGGGGGAAGGGGAGAAAATACATTAGTCATATGATTTCAGAAGAGCTATAAACAAATACAGTTATTTTAGACAACATCATCAAAGAAAGCTTCTCTGAGGAAGCAAACAGTTTAAATGTGATGATGAAAGAGAGAGCCAGTGAAGAAACGTGCGGAGAACTCTGCAGGTGGAGGGAAGAGCACGTGGCAATGCCCGCCTGTGGAGTAAGCCTGTCTGTGTGAGGGCGACCAGGGAGCCGGTGTGGGGAAGCACCGGGAGGGGAGCCGTGCTCAATAGGAAGAGCCGGGGGGAGGGTCTGTTTTTCATTTCTGAATAATGAACTGACCAACTCTAAGAAAAATAATTATTATAAGGAAATAAAAGCAGGTAGATCAGTCAGTATGAATGAGTAAACCAGTCTTTTCATTATTAAACAGCAACTTACCAGCATTGAGAACGAAGACAGAGAAACAGATGAAGCACGTTAGACAAAATCCACCGTCCAGTTCACTAAGATAGCCACCGACCACGGGGCCCAAGATGAAGCCCACACTAGACGCTGTGTTTAACTGTCCAATGGCTAATGGCCGCTCCTTCTCTGGAACCAGGTCAGAAAGCATGGCCCTTGAAATGGAGAGGGTATGTTTAAAAATACCTGCAAGGAGACAAATAACACATTCTGTAACATTTTCCACATTAAAAGAAGGGGCTTCACCTTTATCCCTGATGGGGGTCCCTTCCATCTTCTTTGAACTTCTAAGACCACATGTTCCAGTTGCCATGATGGACTCTGGTTAGCCCACCATCCTGGCTGGCCACCTTATCTCTGGCAACCAGGCTCCTGAATCCTCAGCTTCCCACCCACCTTCCATCAGGACATCCCAGTGTCTCCAGCCATCTCTGGTCCAAGTACAATTCACGGTGGCTTCTATACAGAAAGTTATTCTTCATCATTCACAAACTCAGGGAAAAAACATTGTCTGCATGCCTATTGTATGTCCAGCAAGAACCTTGACCCTGAGGGTAATGCAAGGAACAGAAAAGCAGGAAAAAGACAAATAACCTGTCCTTACAGAGCCTCCATATCTCTGGAAGAATGAGAGGGAGTGGGAGTAAAAACCTAAAGATATGATGCCACCACTGATTTTCTACTAGCAAGAGGCTTGTGAAACTGTTGTCTATACAAATTGAAAGCTGTGATACTTCACTGATGTATTTGACTTGTATGCACCCACACATTGAACAAACACACGCATAAACAGAATTATGATGACATAGTTTGCCCACTAATTTTATCAGGACACTAGAGGCCCGGTGCACTGAATTCGGGAGGGGGGGTCCCCTCAGCCCAGCCTGCAACCTTTCCAATCTGCGACCCAGCGGCTCCTCCTGCTGAGGCATGGCTCCCTTCCAGGTGCAACCCCTTCCCCGTGATTTCTTTGTTCCACTTTCCCTCTGACTGCCGGTTTAGGCCCAACCAACTGCTGGTTTAGGCCCAGGGTCGGGCCTAAACCAGCAGTCGGATACCCCCCTCACAATCCAGGACCACTGACTCCTAACTGCTCACCTGCCTGCCTGCCTAATTGCCCCTAACTGGCCCCCCTGTTAGCTTGGTCACCCAAATGCCCCCCTGCCAGTCCAGACGCTCCCAATTGCCCCCGTCCCACCACCGCCGCTGGCCTGGTTGCCCCTAACTGCCCACCCACAGGCCTGGTTGCCCCTTACTGCTCCCCCTGCCGGTCTGGTCGCACCTAATTGCCTAACCCTGCTGACCTGGTCGCCCCTTATTGCCCCCCTGCCAGCCTGGTCACACCCAACTGCCCTCCCACCCCCACCCCGTGGGCCTGGTCGCCCCATGCAGCCTGCTGCTCAGTTGTTTGGTTGCCCCTCACTAACCCCCTTGCTGGCCTGGTCGCCCCACACAGCCTGTTCAGGGGTCCATTTGGTTGCAATGGCTTTTATTATTATAGAGAGTAGGTCCTACTAACTAATGCTCCTGGCAAGTCTGCCTGATTGCTCCTGACAGTGATGGAACACAGTGGTCTCCAGGGATCTCCCTGAAGGAAGCAGCTGCATATCACTACTCAACCAGGTTGGCTGACATTAACATCATCATCCTCCACATGAATCTCTACACATTTTGTAAGTTTATAGGTGGTACTGTACAGGGGGAATTGTCACCCGCCCCACCATTCCTGTGACTGTCTGTGATGCTGACTCTGACTAAGATGTAGCTTGTAGATGAACAGCGTGTTTATGTAAGAATCCTAGGAACTAACCTCAGAGGATGCAGACTCCGATCTCGAGTCATCCCAGTTCTGGAAGATTTGCTAACCTTCAGCCATAGAACCAGATGACACAGACTCAGGATGACGAAGACCAGGATGATGCCCACCAGTCCATCATGTGACCAGTTTCAAGATCTTTATCGGGATGGACTGTGCTGGCCTGCACACAGAGAGCTTTTCAACCCCTTCCCCGTGATTTCTTTGTTCCCTTTCCCTCTCCCTCCTCATAGAAACCTCTGCCTGCACTGAGATGTTGCAATGGGTTTTGTGACAAGAGTTCCCCATCTTATCAGGTGTCTAGCAGCTGAATAAACCACTTTCCTTTTTCAGCAGCACATCTCACAAATTTGGCTTTCGTGGCAGCAGGTGATCAAGTCTTAGTTCCAGTTACACTATTTATCTCTCATCTGTTCCTTCTGAATTCTGAACAGCCTTACCAGTGAAGGTGGATTGTATTATACTGCACAAGGACACTCTGCCTCCCAAACCAAAACATAAAATGACTGGGACACCAGGTGCATGGAAACCGCTGTCAGCTGGGTTTTGTGTGTGTGCAACAGTGGTGCTTGTTAGGATGACTGATCACGTTTAGAGCAAAGGCATTTATAAACCATTTTCTTAAATAAACAATAGCAGCAAACAGCGTGGGTTTTGGAGGGTGAATACAGGAGACTTGTCCACCAGAGTAGCAGAGCCTGGCAGTGCTCTCACGAGGAAGGTGAGAAACTCAGGGCTCTAGTCACCAAAGAGGCAAGGGGGGAATTAAGAGTGACTACCTTCCCAGCATCTCAGCACCCAGCACTCACAGGTAGTGTTTCAAAGAATGGAAAATATTTTAATGATGGACAAAACAAAAGCTATTTCAAAATGGAAGAAACATTCAGGAGCAGTCTGGAACAAAACCAACCACTGAGCCACTACATCCTAACCCTAACATCCCTCCACAAAGCAACGGCCAGCTTCACAGAGGGCAGCAGGAAAGCTATAGAGGTCAGGAACAATGTGAAGTCAAGAAGCCCAACTTCAAAACTATGAGCTCGCTGAGGGACAGAATAGCAGTCACAGTGCTGGCCAAAGACACTGAACAATCATCCTCATGGAGAGAGATCAATGGGAAGGAACAAGGCTCCCTGCAGAGAGAGCTGTGCCCTCTGACGGACACGGCACTGGTTCCCGCTCCAGCACGCACGAGGTCTGATGCCTTGGACAAGTCAGCAGAGCCTGACTGATCGTGGTGTTACAGCTTTAATTTTATCGCCATTATGCCCTCTATACAAGCTCTAATCAAAGGGGCATTGGCAAGCAGGGACAGGTTTTCTCTATGCATATACATATAAGTGATTTATTTTGAAGGAAAACACACAAGGGGTAAGAACTCACCCACAGAGACTCTGGCGAGGACAAACAGGAACATGTTGGTGGATACTCCAAGAATGAGGTAACCCAGGGCACTGCAGAGAATGCACACCAGCAAGGAGAACCGTCGTCCAATCACATCACTCCAGCAGCCCTGAGGAAGCAAGAACACAAACAGTCCTTTGATTCACTGTAAAATCACCACCTTAGAAATGCCCCCAAATGCAAACCAAGGGGAGAGAGCAGGGCACTGGGGCTAAGATCCTCAGGTGCTTAATTCCATTATGCCTTTTGTCAGAGTATTCTCTTTGGTCTTTAACAAGTTAAGTGGAGAATACAACATAGATCATGTTCTCTCTCTCTCTCTCTCTCTCTCTCTCTCTCTCTCTCTCTCAATCCTCAGCCAAGGATATGCTTCACTGATTTTTAGAGGGGGGGGATTTGAGGGGGGGGAAGAGACATCAATCATTTGCCTCCCGTTTGAGCCCTAAATGGGGACCAAACCTGCAACCTGCCGATTGGTTGCATCCTGCACACTCCAGAGCGGGGTTTGAACCTGTGGTTGGCAAACTGTGGCTCTTGAGTTTTTAGTAAAGGCCAGCTTAGGAGCACCCTAATTAAGTTAATAACAATGTGTCTACCTATATAGTTTAAGTTTAAAAATTTGGCTCTCAAAAGAAATTTCAATGGTACTGTTGATATTTGGCTCTGTAGACTAATGAGTTTGCCGACCACCGACTCAGACCATCAGAGCCCAGCAGGAGGCGCTAGCTGGAGGCTCACACACTAGCAAGTGTGTGGGCAGTGAGTTTCCAAACAGAAAGAGAAGCCCTTTGCCAAGCATATGCAAATGCTTTCTCAGGGACCTGCTGCCCTGAAAGTGAGCACACCTTCTCCTGTGCAACCTGAGGCTGGGTATCGTTTACTTTTTTGGATCTTTAAGGCCAAGACTGTTAGGGAGAAAGGAACCCAGGCTTAAAGTGTGAGTACAAGATGAGGTCACTTTGTCAAATTATCTCACATTTGTGTTTGTGAGCCTTAATTTCCTCCTGTGTAATAAAGGGAGATAAATACTTTGCTGGGTCATTGTAAAGGTCAAATAAGAATAAAATTATTATTGTTACACAAATTTAATCTATGAAAGACTTCAAAATAAGATAAACCAGGGAGTAGCTATTTATTTACCAAAGAAATCATTACAAAATCTGACCAAATTTCTTCTCTTTTAAAACACATTTTATGTGTAAGCCGCTCTTGAGAAGCAGTCCCACCTCCGTGCTCACTAACCAAGGCCCCAGCTGGTCAGCCCGTGGACTAGCCTGGCAGTTCTGCCTGGCCCTCCTGGACCCCTGGACACTGAGGCTAAGACCCAGTGGCAGCGTGCAGGTCAGGAAGAAGGGGAGGCTCGGCTCAGAATTCCAAATTTCAAACAGTGAGTGTCCTTGGGAGTGACAGTGCAGCTCTGGCTACTTCCACCCACGCTGTGGGCAGACATGAACCTCCAAAGGGCTCCTGTCTGCACACTTCAGTTTTAGAATTAATAAACCACGCAGTTCAAGGTGCAAAACTTCAAACAGAACCCTAGAGGCATGGCTGGATTTGATTATTGTCAATTAATTGAAACAAATGCTAAACTTGGTAATAATCATTCTCTTTCCCAGTCAAAGGTCAGCAGGGAATCATAGGAAGGACATGGCACAGTGGGTTCTCGTTCTGACTCAAGGTGCTCCTTCCAGAAGCCATCCCTCTGGTACACGGAGGCCCAATGAGAAAGGGAGTGACTGAAGGGACCTTCTGATCTAACGCCGGGATCTCCCAATCATTGGCACACCCACTTGGGAAGCCCAGCCCGATTCCGCAGCCGCTGGGCTGGGTACACTCAGAGGGTGGGAGCCTGCGGGCCAGCACGTTGCCAGATGGAAGGAAACTTACCACGGGGGTGCTAGACAAGAGCTGCAAGATGCCATAGGAGGAGCCTGCAAAACATCAGCACCAAGAGCAAGATCAGCCAAGACCAGCCAGCCCTCGCAGAACTGACAATGGGTAATGATGCACACAGATTAACAGAAAAACTTCAGGGAAAAAAGGTCATTTCAAAAAAGAAATACCCCCACAATGTTTTTCAATTGGAAGAGTATAAGTAATCTAATTAGTAATAAAAGGTCTTCAAAATAAAATGAAAGTAAGCAGAAGAGAGACTACGGGCAAGTTCCCTTAGGACCTTGAGACAGTCCTTCCTCCGTGTGAGGTTCCCGGAGACGAAGCAGAGCCGAGGGGAGCAGAGCCCAGCCTGGCATCTACCACGTCTTCGGCTGTTAACATCGCACATGCACGCACCTCTTTGCTCACGGTGCTTTCATTTTATAAAGAACCTAGTTCACAGAGTGCTTTGACCTCCATTATATCCATAAATGTCTCGTAAATAAAACCCTTCTGTTTGCTCTTCATAAAACCCTTGTGCTGCCGGCTGGTCCAGTATAATTCCAGATCCCTTTCTGAGGGAATACAACGCTGGCATGGGCAGGGCTTACTGAACATTCGTCCCAAACTGTCCCCAAACACCTGCTTATGGAGCTTGTGAATGATCGGGGACTGAAGCCTTAATTTGTCATTCATCAGCCAGTCCAAAGCCTGCTAGGTCCTGCCTCTCTGAACATTAGTGACGCCCGGATGGAGCTTGGTGTGCGGGTGGGAACTCCTCACAGCACCGGATGGTGCTGGTGCTGGTGCGGGGAGTTTGCAACTGACCTGGAAGGCTTGTCCCCCCTCCCCTTTCTGCACGTCTCAAAGCTTCTCAGAACATCGGAGGTCTAGGAAAAGATGAATGACGTATTCTGAGAATCCATTTCATAGCATTTTTCATTTACTTTAGGGTAGCATTGAGCTCGGAGGCTGATTCGCTTTCAAGCACTCAGTGCAGGGATGTAAGGCGCCCGCTCTGAAAATGTGCAGTGCACTCACTCACCTGCTATCCCAGCCACAGTGGGACTCGCTCCAAGAGACTTGACGTGAAGGCCCAATAGAGGCACCACCATGCTGACACCAAACAAGTCCTGAACGACAGAGCACTGATTAACTCCAACAAGTCTGGTGTTTTTAAAGTGGCGATCCTAACGATACACTGACTTTCCAATTAGGACCGCTATCTAAAACTGAGCAAATAAGAAATCCCTGTGCTATACTCATCAGATCCAAGTTATCCAGGATCCAAATACTATGTGCTGTAGCAGAGGCGGCCTGCAAAAGTGCGGGCCACTCTGACCTAGAATCCATGGTAACTTCAGCGCCTCTGTAACTGATCTTTAATATTCCAGAAGGATGTGCTGCCAGCGTCCCTCCAATAAGAAAACAAAACAATTTTGTGAGCAATAAAGCGAGAAAGGGGGTAGGGTGATGTGTGTTTCTGGACAAAGCAGCTTGTACTTAATGACATGCGTTTCCTCCTGCAGCTGGGGAAGGCACTGACCGTGGCTTACAGCCTAACAAGGTAATGCTGAAAAGCACGTCCCAGTGAAGCGAGAGGCCGTGTGGTAACGAAGGCCACTCTCTGCAGCTACGTCACGGAGGGCGCGTGCGCTCTGAGGTCGGACAGACAGTTCTCAGCTCCAGTCCTCCACTTACTAAGCAGCCTGTGGCCTTGGGAAGTTATGTTAGGCTACCAAGCATGCTGCTGTCACCTGCCTGGCAGAAACACAATGCACATGAGAGGCAGCGGCTGAGAAAGCTGACACACAACACAAGCTCAAACATTTTCTCTTCAGTTCTGAGAATGAGTATTGATCCTTCTTTGTTAACAGATGGTTAATTTTCCCTTTAAATGTCACTCTCATTACTACTTCACTTGGTTACTTGCTACAACTGATTTAGGAGAAAAAAAACACACACATAGCACACACAGTGTCTTTCATAGTCAACCTGAATATCTTTTCTGGTAACTCTAAACAGAAATACTTGACAAAGTTATGTGTTTTTTCAGCCAATAATTCATCTCTCGCTCCCTGTCTCTCTTGGTAGCAGTACATCCATCTAATTATAGAAACATAAACCTTTTCAGTGTTTTCCCCATGGTTACAGCTGTAGATAGTCATGTAAATATAAACAGCTCATAAACCTACACTCCCAGAACTATGGCGCACTGTTTTGGTTTAAGATTGCAGCAGTGCTCCCTTATCCTTGGGGGATGCGCCCCAAGAGGGCATGAAAGCAGAGTGCCCACACCAAATGTGTTCTCCTATCCATGCATTCCTACGACCAAGTTTAATTTCTAGGTCAGGCCCGGTAAGAGGGGAAAACAGTAACTATAGAGCAGAACAGTGATAACAACACATTGTAATAAACCTATAAACATCTGATGGCTGTGCCCACCCGCTTCCCGTGCTGCTTGGGATGTACAGTGCCTGTGTGAGGCGTGAACTGAGGCGGGATGAGGCGTTGTGACCTAGCACTGGCTGCTGTGACAGTGACTCAACACAGCACTGTGTCCATTCTGGTGCCTGAGAAGGCTACCAAGTGACTGACGGAAAGGTGCAGTGTCCAGCGTGGACCACATGGCGATGGGACACTTCAGAGCCGGGCCTGGACGAAGGGGGCAGCGGGAGATTTTAAACGGCGCGCAACTTACGTCTGGATTTCCCCACGTAAGTTTTTGGACCAACGTTGACCACAGGTAACTGAAATCATGGAAAACAAAGCTGCCAGGAAGGGGACACTAATGTACTTAGCATTTCCTTTGAGTCCAAGCCAATTTTTGGGGGAGGGCTTTACTATCAGCTTTGTTCCATCAGCCTACTGATATTTTATATCATTTAAAAGACTCAAATACATTTCTGGATCTTTAATACAAGGAAACTCAACTATCCAGCAAGTATGTTGTCCCAAAAAATTCCCAGTACTGTTTGTATTTAACATTGGAATGTTTATTCTAAATAAGGGCTGGGAAAAATATCTTAGTAGGTAGCCAACATCTATGGAAGACAGATATAAAAACATAGACTCATAAGCAATATAGGTGATGAGTATTATTTTAGTATTTGTGAGCCTGAAAAGGATAATCTTTCCCCAAGGAGGCTGGCTGTAGCTCCTTCCTCCAAGGAAGCTCTGCCCTCAAACTGTCTGCTAGTTTAACAGAAAAGGGACTTCCAAGTTGGGACCTGGGAACCAGATGAGAGGGCCATTTAACCCTTCCGCAGAACACCTACATGTCAATGCAGACTGAGGGGTACGTTACAGGTTACAGTGTTTTGGGATCTTTTGAAAATGAATTCTCACCTGACTAAAGGTGATGGAATGAGGTACAGCTCTCCCAGGCACCGGGAGGGGAGAAGAGACTGAACCGTAGGTCCTGGCAGCACCTTAGCGTGCTGACCAGGAAGGACCTCCTCGTCCGAGGCTTCCTCTCCACACCAGCTGAAACCTCCACGCGGAGGGCTGGAACGGAGCATTTGCACCAACGAATTCTTTACCTTATTCATTTCCTCTCCCAATTGGAAATCATCTCCCCAAAGTCTTACGGGTCTTCTCATCTCTGTATTAAAAACCGTAACTGAGATATGTATAATATTCCTTAGCTGTTACCTAACAGGCATTAGGTGCTGCAAGTTGCATATATTTTGTTAACAAAACTTTCCATTTAAAAAAAATCCCGACCTGATGATTCTCGCGTAATTATTAAAATTAAACTTTTACACCAGGTCTGTCAGATTAGGCTCACCATGCGGACAGCATATGAGGAGCTCTGACTGCAAATCTGAACCCCAAGGCCAATCATAGGAACACTCTCAAACTAGGTTGAATTCTAGGTCCTGTTGGCTTCCAAAATTCTCTGAATTCCGGTGTGGACTTTCTGGAGGAGGGTCCAGATCCTGTCCACCTGGCAGATCCAGGCCGGCACGCCATCGGAGGTGGGGCTGCAGTAGCCGGGGCCCCTTTCTTCTACCAGAAGGTGGATGGCGGCCAACCACTCACACTCAATAGTTTTGGATTTTCGGTGACTGGATTGGTAGGAGGAAGAGGAACCTGCATCCTCAGGCTCAACTAAGAAAGAAACTAGGCCTTAACCGGTTTTCTCAGGGGATAGAGCATCGGCCTTCGGACTGAAGGGTCCCAGGTTCGATTCCGGTCAAGGACATATACCTTGGTTGTGGGCACATCCCCAGTTAGGGGTGTGTAGGAGGCAACTGATTAATGTTTCTCTCTCATTCAATGTTTCTTTCTTTCTTTAAAAAAAAAAATAAATATTTTATTGATTTTTTTACAGAGAGGAAGAGAGAGGGATAGAGAGAAACATCGATGAGAAACAATCATCCATCAGCTGCCTCTTGCACACCCCTTACTGGGGATGTACCTGCAACCAAGGTACATGCCCTTGACCGGAATCAAACCCGGGACCCTTCAGTCCACGGGCTGACACTCTATCCACTGAGCCAAACCGGTTTCAGCTCAATGTTTCCCTCTATCTGCAAAATGTTTCCCTTCCTCTCTGTAAAAAATCAATAAATTAAGAGAAAAAAAAAGAAAAAAAGAAAGAAACTGGGTCAGATGAAGTGCCAGGCTCTGAACTCAAGGGCATTAAGCATGGGGGTGGCTGCAATCTTAGTGGGAGGCTGGGACCCCTCGGAAAAGCTGCCGCCCCTGACCGGCTCTCAGTCTGTGCTTACAGCAATAAGGGAATATGCTTTCATTGCCTTACAGCTCTCAAGTCCACAGTAAGCCTTTCGGGCCGCTGGACAGCTTGCGCTGATGAGGGGAGGGAGACTGCCTCCCAGCTCCTCAGCCAGCCAAGTGGGACTCAGGTCCTAACTCAAGTGGGGCACCCTCTGGTGGTCAAGACAGTTTGGGGTCCAAAAGAGAAAATCCTCCTGGGTCTCTGCCCCAAGCTGGATTAGCTCACAACCGGACAACTGGACCAGGTCTACACTTGGAAACAGGAGTGAAAAGGTGGGCCCGGCTTCCTACAGAGAGTGGTCCACAAACCTCCAGCACACGCTTCCCAGCAAGGCGTGGGTCCTCCCAGGCACAGGTTGCACGTACAGCAATGGGAGCTCCAAACTAACACACAGCCCGAGTCCAAAATCCCATGAATAATACATGAGCGGGCGGACGAATGAATTTACCTCCACATACTCAGCTTCCTAAGCTTTCCATTAGACATGAAGTTGTTAGCTGTGCTATTAAACCACAACACACACACACACACACAATGACAAAGCCCTGCACCCCACGGCTATAAACAGTTTGTCCACAGGGAGAAGTGTAGATCACTGTGACTTGCATTGTTAACCATCCCAGTGTGCCAGGAACCCTACTGAAAATGTGCGAGGCGGGGTCATCAACAGCAGCTCCCGGACCCGGGCTGGAAAAGGCCTGCGTTTCCCCGGCAGCCACTGCAGCGGGGCTCTGCCAAGCTGGCCCAGGAAAGCCTGCTGTCCTCGGCACGCCTGCGCCCGCCATGCCACCAGCACCTGGGACCTGGCCATCAGGGTGGGCCCAGGCCGGTGGGCGGAGGCTCCGGTCCAGGAGCGGCGTGGTGAGTGCAGAATGCAGGCGGGATGGGGCAGCGGAGGCGCCTCGGGTGGACTAGGTGGGCAGCCGGGCTGAGCCTGGGGGCAGGCAGCTGGCAGGCGGAGCGGGACCAGTAACTGCCGGAAGGGAGGGAGGCCACAGGGGCGGGCCCACAGGGTGGGGCTGCCCCAGGGTGACCTCTTCCTCTCCGGCGGGCACGTCACTGGCCGCCCTGACTCTCCCATCTGGCCATAGGTCAGACCTTTCCTCCCGGGCAGGGCTACTCCTCAGAATAAACGTGTGAGTCTCAGGTTTGAGTCTTGCTCTGAAGTGTTTCTCGGCCCAAGCGCCAGGTCAGGGTCCCAGACCGGCGCCCTGAGGTCACCCACCGCCCGGAGCGCCCCTCCCGGCTCGGCGCCGCCGCCGGCCCGGCCCGCACTCACCAGGAAGCCCACCAGGCAGAGGCAGCGCAGGAACAGGGCGGCCCGCAGCGCGCCGGGGCCGGGGGTGCCCGGCCCGGCCCCCGCCCCGGGCTCCGGCCGCTCGGCCTCGGCGTCCCCGGGGCCTTCCTGCGGGCGAGCCCAGGACGCGGAGGCCCGCAGCTCCATGCGGACAGGACGGCGTCGCGGACCCGCCAGGCCCGCGAGCAGCGCTCACAGCCCCGCCCCCATCGGCCGCGGCCGGCGTACGCCTGCGCAGAGGCGCTGCGGCCGGTCTCAGGGGGAGTGGCTGGCCGGGCCGGGCTCAGGGGGCGTGGCTGGCCGGGCCGGGCTCAGGGGGCGTGGCTGGCCGGGCCGGGCTCAGGGGGCGTGGCTGGCCGGGCCGGGCTCAGGGGGCGTGGCTGGCCGGGCCGGGCTCAGGGGGCGTGGCTGGCCAGGCCGGGCCGGGCGTGGACCCCTCCCCTCCGTGTGCGGAGGCCCCGGTGGCCAGTTTGTGTGGCGGTGTTGATGATGCCGTTTCCTGGGGGTAAACATCCTAATGTCCCGGCGTTCGGAGGCGGGTGGGAGTTGTGATAAGCTCCAGCTCGGGAGATGGGGTTGTCTATGAGAGTGTCTAAACTTGTAGAAAAGTTTTATAGGAGTTTGAGTCCAATTTTGAGGACACACCTAGAAGCAAAATCTCAATGGACTTGAGAAAAAGCCTTGCCACATGGCAATAATGCAGTTTATTTTGCCCATTACAATCAAAGGAGATGTAAGGAAGGTGCATGAAATCCACTGGTGGTGGGTTAAGGAAGCCAGGAGAAGTGTGTGTGTGTGTGTGTGGGGGGGGGAAGTCTCTAGGATTGGATAAAAAGTGCAATGGAGACACTCCAGTTAGGAATTTATGATCTGATCAGCCAGTGTGGTTACTTTTGGCCGAGCTTGTCAGGCCTGCCATGCTTTTGTGATTTCCACATCTGGGGTAGATGCTTTGAAAGGGGATGCTAGTGCTCTTCCAGACCTATCAAACCGCCTACCTGCTTACTAGGCAAATAGCTGGGTTAGATGCTCCGAGTGCTCCAGGGAGCAGGCAGTCACTAACGACCAGGGAGGACATTGCTGGCAACAAAACACTGGAAAGACTCTGCTAACATATAATCAGCACAGACCTTGGAGGTCTTTGGCCTCTTGGGAAGTTCCTTACAGCCAGTTGACTGCGGAAGGAAATACTTGAGTCTGGTGTACAATTAGATCTGCGTAATATTCCGGTATCACTTAATATCACTAGTTTGACATAGGGGTGGCTCTGAAGGATAGTGGTGAAGGAAAATCTTACCATTGATTGGAACTCCAAGTGGTATTTTGGTTGTTCACTTTGTCTGGAGAGGTGGCCAAAAATAAATTACATCATTCATGGCCAGTACCTAACAGGCTGAATGTAACAAGAGTTGGAAGATTAATGACAAAGAAGTCTGGAGAACAGATGTGGATGGAGGTCTCAAAGGGGCACAGGATGGCCTGGCTGGTGTGGCCCAGGGGTTGAGCATGGACCTATGAACCACGAAGTGATGGTTCCATTCCTGTCAGGGCATATGCCTAGGTTACAGGCTTAATCCCCAGTAGGGAGCATACAGGAAGCAGCTGATCAAATGATTCTCTCATCATTGATGTTTTTCTTTCTCCCTCTCCCTCTCCCTCTAAAATCAACATATACACACACACACACACACGTGTGTGTGTGTGTGTGTATGTATATATGTGTGTGTATGTGAATATATATGTGTGTGTATATATACATATTAAAAAGGACACAGGATGTAGAAGATACTTTTGTCTCCTGGGAATGTTTATCAAAAGGTATCTACTGCAGAGGAGACTTCTAATAATCTGGTGGATTCTCTATTATATCTAACTAGAGTCCCAGTGCATGAAATTTGTGCACAGGTAGGTCCTAGGCCTGGCCTGTGATCAGGGCTGATCAGGGCCACCCCTGGCTGCCAGCTGCTGGCTGGGCCTTCCTTCATTCCAAACTACCCCCTGGTGGTCAGTGCATGTCACAGTGAGCAATCGAACTCCCAGTTTCCCGGTTGAACTCCCAAGGGGACAATTTGCATATTAGCCTTATATATACGTAGATAACTATTGTATAGAACAATTGAGGCCCAATGCACAAAATTCGTGCAAGGGGCTTGGCCCTTGCAGCCCCATCTTCGTCCGGCATATTGTCCGATGGTCATTCCATTGTTTGGCCATCTGGTCTAATTAGCATGTTATGCTTTTATTATCATAGACTTGCTTCCCATTTTGGTAACGTTGACCTTTCATTTTAAGGACTTTAATCCCAAGAGGGCAGTGTGTCCACCAGATGGCACAACAAAGGTTCTATTGAATTAAAAGATATTTTAATGTTATATTTTAATGTTTTTGTTTTGTATATCCCCTAGCTACTTATTGTAATTATTGATTTTGCTCCTTTGTAGTTTAATCTCCATACAAGTCTTTTAAGTGTCTGATTCACTGTGTTTACCATATACTAGAGGCCTAGTGCACGAATTCCTGCACTGGTGGGGTCTGTCCAGCCCGGCCCCAATCAGGGTGGATCAGGGTTGGGCCTATCGGGAGGAGGAGATGGCAGGAGGTTGGCAGCTGGCCAGCTCTGATAGAGCCTGATCAGGACTGGGCTGGCTTGGGGGAGGGGCTGTAGGAAGTTGGCTGGCCAGCCCCGCCCCTTATTGGGATGGGGGGCAACCAGGGGTGTAGGAAGCTCTTTCACATCTCACATGGAAAGGGTTCCAATTCAGGGTTCAGGTTCTGGAGAAGGGCCACACACAAATGAAAAGAGACTTAAAGAAATTCAATTTTGGGGGCCAGGTGGTAGTCCAACTCTAGTGGGAGAACTACTACTGCTCTAGCCCTGCCATCCCTTTATTGAGGCTTTGGGGAAAACATGTTAGGCAAGATAAACAGAAATTTACATGTAGCTCTTAAGCAAGAAATAACAGAAACTTACATGGGACAAACAAGGTGGAGGTTGCTTCAGTTACAACTCTCTTTTTGTGAAACTGATTTGTTTCTGGCATCTCCCCCGTTTTCTTTCCTTATGCAGACTAGAAATAAACAAAAAATGAGACAACAATGGCTATGCTAAGTCAAATGAAATCAGTCTGCAGGAAGTTTCTTTCTGGGCCAACAGTTTTTGAAACCCAGATTCAATGTCCAACAGTTTTTTGAGTACAAGTCAGCAATGGTATCTGGATGATGGACAAATGGTGGCAATGCAGGTCTGACCTCTGGTTTGGTCCTGGGCAACCTGCAGCGATGCATAGCTGCTGACTGCTTGTATGGCAAGGCGTCCTCAGCATCTTCCACCTTGTCGTCTGTTACCTCTGTGCGGTCATGAATGGGTTCCTCCATCATCATCTGGAAGCAGGCTGGCAGGGTTGATAGCCAGAGTCTTATGAATCCGAACACAGGGCTGGTCCAGGAGAAAAGCCTGGCCCATCCAGTTGAGCTCCTGGCCCAGAGTCTGCTTATCTGCCTCCTTCACCAGCAGTGCTGTGGTGGCCACTGTCTGGGAGCACGCTGGCCACCCTGCTGCCACAGGGTCCAGTCTCTTAGATAGGCAACAGGTCTCTTCCAGGGACCTAGAGTCTGAGTGAGAACCCCTTTGGCAATGCCTCTTACCTCAGTCACTTGGAGGTGGAAGGGCTTCACGACGTCTGGCAAGGCTAGGGCAGCTGCTGAGATGAGAGCCTCCTTTAGCTCCTCAAAAGCCCATTGTCCAGTTCAGCAGCTGTGTTCCTTCTGTACATGTTCCTTCTGAGGGCCATAGTCCTTCTTCGATGTCCAAGGAGGCTCCTTGCTTTCTTCAATAAACATATTAATTCCTTCTTATTAGTTGCTGGCCTTTTAATTTCAAATTAACTTCTAAACTTTCTATATAACTATGCTTCAAATTTTAAAGAAAAGGCAAGGGAGGAAGGAGCAGGTCCAGTACACTGTTCCCAGGCCTCCAGCCGCTTGAAATTTAAAATGCCACATTTTTCCTACAGATACAGATCTATCTGCATTTCTAAGCCTCCTCTACTCCCCCCTGCAGAACATCGGTGAAAATTGTCCAAGCAGTCGCAGGGGGTTAAATCATACAAATAATTGTTTTAACACAATTCTAAATAAATTATAAACCTTTGTGATGAAGTCTACTTAAAACTACACACATGACTGAAACCAAAATGATTCCCAAAGTTTAAACAAAATACAGGATGCAGGTATAAGCCCAAATTCAAACTTACAATGCAAAGCAAAACAAAACAGATCAAATATAAAAGTTTCATATGTTACATTAAACATTACTTCAGAAAAACTGACTTAAAAAATACTGCATCACTGACTTAAAATAATTTTTAAGTGTAAGCATTACATATTTTTCATCTGACAAATAAGAATAAATCAATCCTTGAGATCTTTGATCATTACTGCTTATTCTTAACACATATAATACAGTTTAGCCTGCCATATTCTAGGCATCTAGTTACTGCAATTAACTTTTCCTAATACATTTCTCAATCACAATTCATACTTAAGTAGCTATATGACTCTGCTTAGTTGATACCAATGACAAGGAAGACTAACCATTGTAAGCAAGGCCATCTGGGCAGCATCACCTGCCACTCCCTGCAGATCACTGGAGTAGCATTCAAATGCAAATGAACACATTCTTTAGCTTAAAAGACTCCTGGCCATTCTGGGCCATTCACATAAACACTTTACCATTACCATCTAGTTTCCGCCTCATGGCTGGGAATTTCAAAAGCTGCTTACAATGACTTGGGAAACTAGTTTTAATTTATCTTCCGGTTATCTTCACCATTTTTAAAGCTCATTCTGTACACAGAAAAGTTTTAAGCACAGCCCAAAACTATGCGCACTCGTTTTGAACTAGCCTTTTCTCTTTACTGAGCACAGAGATTCGCCCTTGAGCTCTTCTCCCATACCAGACATCGCCATGGACCAGATGCCTCCACACCGGCCCAGGCCCCCAGGGCCCAGGCCCCCCGGAGCGAGGCTGCTGCCGCCCCAGCCATGCTACTCAGGCGGCCTCCAGGGAGAAAGCGTGGGTCGCCCCAGCGGCTTCCCGGCTCCACTTCCCCTTCTCCAGGCAGCCAGCAAGTTAACCCAGGTGCCTG